TAAATAAAGATTGAACATCTCTCATACAATATCAAGAAGAGTAGAGATAGTACATTTAGTAACAGTCTTTCCAGGGAACATATATATCATATATAACCTGCACCTATGTGTGCTATTTTGCCAAGAAATTTTACTCCAGGAAATTTATTGTAAAATAATAGTTAAGGATGTGCATACCCCCAGTGATGTTTATTGTATCTTTCCTTATAAGAGGAAAAAGTTATGGTTAAGTAGTGATCAATAAACAGGTTTAACTAAAACTCTAAATACAGTGATGTCATATAGTAGAACACTTTGTAGTCATGAAAATGATGGAGTAGGTGAGTAGGTTTATTGACAGGCAAAGATATGCCCAAAATATAAAAGAGGCTTTTGAAGAATTTGCATCAAAATCTTAATTTTAGCTACCTTAAGTTGGTTTGGAATGTAAAATTTGTCTGTTTTTTAAATAATTTAATGTAACTAGCACAGACCATTTTTGTAAAAAGAGAAAAAAGAGCTATTTTTAAATTTTAAGAAAATTGAAAGGGGAAAAACAACCAGAAGAGCAAACACAGTGGTGTATCTTCAGTGATTTTAGAAGAGATAGCTTCTCCACGTATACAGTACATCAAAGTGGCCGGTCTGGAAGAGGTGATATTCCTGTGATGGGAGAGGTGGTTCACAGTTAGATTTCACAGGCTACTAGGGTCATTCAGCAAACTCTCCTTGCTCAGATTGCCAACTCCTCAAGCTACCTTCTAGTTATAATTTAGCTTCTGATTCTGTTTGTCTACTGGCAGCTAGAGAATGATAATTAGCTGTAGGCACATGTACTCCTCTAAAATTATATTCATCTGTGTAAATTAATTACTTGTCAATCTAATTCTGTATTAAATAATTATTATCAGAAACATTACTTGGTAAACATCTTCCTCAATATCTGTAATGTATTAATTATATAAATTATCTCATTTTAGTTTAAATTATTTAAAGAAAGAAGTTGCAAGCAATATATTTCAATAAAAAGATCAGTATGGTCCTCAAATTTCAGGTCAGCAATATGCAAAAACCCCTATTTTGGCTTAGAATGTTAAGAAGAAAGTTGTAGTCAAGAAAATCAGTATTTTATTCTCTTTTTATATTGAGGGAATAACTATTTCTTATTTTTAAATAATAGATTTTTCTTAATCCAGATTGAATATTGCTTCAATGTCTTTTATTTCCGTATTGTTTATTTCTGTTTTTCAGATCTGGTTTGCTTCTGGGGCTTTCATCCGTGCTGATGTTGGTGAATGGGGCATGAGTCTAACGATCAGAGCCCCTGGTGTAGATTACAGAAACACTTTGGGACTTTGTGGAACCTTTGATGAAAATCCAGAGAATGATTTCCATGACAAAAATGGGATCCAAATTGATCAAAATTTTAACAATTATGTTGCTTTTATTAATGAATGGAGGTAAGACACTATTTTTCCACTTGCAATTGTATTAATATTAGATTTAAAATGGGTGGTGGCTCAACACTCTGCTTTTTTGCAACACATATTAGGAAAAAATGTCTATATAGAAATTACTATTCTTTCCTATTCTCCATTTGGAAGGATTTTACCAGGAAAAAGCATGTTTGACACACTGCCAATTTCTTTGACGTCACCTGGAAAGCCATCCTATTGTAGCTGTTCAGTGGACACTGCAGCGTATCCATCTTCCAATGATCTGGGCAGTGTTTCTCAATCAGAAATCGTCTCGGGTTGCAAAGACCTCAGTCATGTCAGCTTACCTTCTTTGATACCAGAACTAGATGTCACTTCTGAATATATTAATTCAGGCACTCTTGTCAGAGAGATAAACAAGCATACATCTCAAGAAGAATATAATCTAAATTTCTTTCCACAAGAAAACAACCACATAAACCTGACTAAACTAGGCTTAAATGTACAAAAACATCCTGGAAATGAGAAAGAAGATGCACTAAAATATTTGGACACTAAGAAATATACACAAGGCCAGGAAAGCCCCAGCCAAGAAATGAGGTACAATCGACAAAACAGACGGAAACGGCAAAACTTTTATGAGTTCCTTCCTTTGTTTGCTTTCCCGAGTCTCAGCCAAACGGATCTGGAGGAACTTACTTATTTTTTCCCAGAGGACCACACTGAGGATGTACAGCAAGAGTTTGTCCCCTCTTGGCCCACACCCTCTGGCCTCACCGAGTACAGCACCTTGACCCTCTGTCAGCAGACTCTAGCCAACTCCAGCATAGGAAGGCTCTGTCTTGCTTTTCTCGGCAAGAGAATAGACAGTGTTATAGATATGTGTGTGAAGGATGTTCTGTTAAAAGATGATCTTAGCTGGGCAGAAGCAGGTGTGGCCCTTTTAGAAAATGAATGTGAAAAGAGGATTGTGGAGGAGGGGAAATATAACACAGAAGAGTATGGAACGTCAATTGAAGACATTCTCTTAGTGTTAAAATGTCCCAATTTATGCAGCGGCAATGGGCAGTGTATGGAATGGGGGTGTGCATGTTCCCCAAGCTTTACTTCCTATGATTGCAGTGATTCCTATGGTAAGTAAATACTCTCAAAGTTTGATACTGCATATGATATTTCATTATAAAAATGTATTTGATCTTTATTTCACCCTCAGTATCCTAACAGTGTTTATTCAGATTTTATAGAGAAAACCTCCAAATCATATTAATTAATACACTACTAATTTTCTAACAGCATCTCATCTTATTTGGAGTAAAAGCCAAAGTAACTTATAACAGCCTAGAAGGCACAGTGTGATCTGGCACTCAGTGTCTCTCTAAACTCATTCCCTACTACTGTCACCCTGTCATTCCACTCCAGCCCCTTTGGTCTCTAAGCTGTCCCTTGAAAATGCCAAGTTCATTTAACCTCAGGGCCTTTACACACAAGTGGGCCCTCTACCTTATAGAGAATCATTATTTTCCCAGAACTCAAATTTAGTATTTTTAAAACACTGTGTTTATATTGTTTTGCTAATTATACTAATTT